TAGTGGGGTACAAGTGTAGATGTGTGGGAGATGTTAGTGGGGTACAAGTGTAGGTGTGTGGAAGATGTTAGTGGGGTACAAGTGTAGATGTGTGGGAGATGTTAGTGGGGTACAAGTGTAGGTGTGTGGAAGATGTTAGTGGGGTACAAGTGTAGATGTGTGGGAGATGTTAGTGGGGTACAAGTGTAGGTGTGTGGAAGATGTTAGTGGGGTACAAGTGTAGATGTGTGGAAGATGTTAGTGGGGTACAAGTGTAGATGTGTGGAAGATGTTAGTGGGGTACAAGTGTAGATGTGTGGAAGATGTTAGTGGGGTACAAGTGTAGGTTTGTGGGAGATGTTAGTGGGGTACAAGTGTAGGTGTATAAGAGATGATAGTGGGGTACAAGTGTAGATGTGTGGGAGATGTTAGTGGGGTACAAGTGTAGATGTGTGGAAGATGTTAGTGGGGTACAAGTGTAGGTTTGTGGAAGATGTTAGTGGGGTACAAGTGTAGGTTTGTGGGAGATGTTAGTGGGGTACAAGTGTAGGTGTGTTGGAGATGTTAGTGGGGTACAAGTGTAGGTGTGTGGGAGATGTTAGTGGGGTACAAGTGTAGATGTATAAGAGATGTTAGTGGGGTACAAGTGTAGATGTGTGGAAGATGTTAGTGGGGTACAAGTGTAGATGTGTGGGAGATGTTAGTGGGGTACAAGTGTAGGTGTGTGGGAGATGTTAGTGGGGTACAAGTGTAGGTGTGTGGGAGATGTTAGTGGGGTACAAGTGTAGATGTATAAGAGATGTTAGTGGGGTACAAGTGTAGATGTGTGGGAGATGTTAGTGGGGTACAAGTGTAGGTGTGTGGGAGATGTTAGTGGGGTACAAGTGTAGGTGTGTTGGAGATGTTAGTGGGGTACAAGTGTAGATGTATAAGAGATGTTAGTGGGGTACAAGTGTAGATGTGTGGGAGATGTTAGTGGGGTACAAGTGTAGATGTGTGGGAGATGTTAGTGGGGTACAAGTGTAGATGTGTGGAAGATGTTAGTGGGGTACAAGTGTAGATGTGTGGAAGATGTTAGTGGGGTACAAGTGTAGGTGTGTGGGAGATGTTAGTGGGGTACAAGTGTAGATGTATAAGAGATGTTAGTGGGGTACAAGTGTAGGTGTGTGGGAGATGTTAGTGGGGTACAAGTGTAGATGTGTGGGAGATGTTAGTGGGGTACAAGTGTAGATGTGTGGGAGATGTTAGTGGGGTACAAGTGTAGGTGTGTGGGAGATGTTAGTGGGGTACAAGTGTAGATGTGTGGAAGATGTTAGTGGGGTACAAGTGTAGATGTGTGGAAGATGTTAGTGGGGTACAAGTGTAGATGTGTGGAAGATGTTAGTGGGGTACAAGTGTAGATGTGTGGAAGATGTTAGTGGGGTACAAGTGTAGGTGTGTGGGAGATGTTAGTGGGGTACAAGTGTAGATGTATAAGAGATGTTAGTGGGGTACAAGTTTAGGTGTGTTGGAGATGTTAGTGGGGTACAAGTGTAGATGTGTGGAAGATGTTAGTGGGGTACAAGTGTAGATGTGTGGAAGATGTTAGTGGGGTACAAGTGTAGGTTTGTGGGAGATGTTAGTGGGGTACAAGTGTAGATGTGTGGAAGATGTTAGTGGGGTACAAGTGTAGGTTTGTGGGAGATGTTAGTGGGGTACAAGTGTAGATGTATAAGAGATGTTAGTGGGGTACAAGTTTAGATGTATAAGAGATGTTAGTGGGGTACAAGTGTAGATGTGTGGGAGATGTTAGTGGGGTACAAGTGTAGATGTGTGGAAGATGTTAGTGGGGTACAAGTGTAGATGTATAAGAGATGTTAGTGGGGTACAAGTGTAGATGTGTGGAAGATGTTAGTGGGGTACAAGTGTAGATGTGTGGGAGATGTTAGTGGGGTACAAGTGTAGGTGTGTGGAAGATGTTAGTGGGGTACAAGTGTAGATGTGTGGGAGATGTTAGTGGGGTACAAGTGTAGGTGTGTGGAAGATGTTAGTGGGGTACAAGTGTAGATGTGTGGGAGATGTTAGTGGGGTACAAGTGTAGGTGTGTGGAAGATGTTAGTGGGGTACAAGTGTAGATGTGTGGAAGATGTTAGTGGGGTACAAGTGTAGATGTGTGGAAGATGTTAGTGGGGTACAAGTGTAGATGTGTGGAAGATGTTAGTGGGGTACAAGTGTAGGTTTGTGGGAGATGTTAGTGGGGTACAAGTGTAGGTGTATAAGAGATGTTAGTGGGGTACAAGTGTAGATGTGTGGGAGATGTTAGTGGGGTACAAGTGTAGATGTGTGGAAGATGTTAGTGGGGTACAAGTGTAGGTTTGTGGAAGATGTTAGTGGGGTACAAGTGTAGGTTTGTGGGAGATGTTAGTGGGGTACAAGTGTAGGTGTGTTGGAGATGTTAGTGGGGTACAAGTGTAGGTGTGTGGGAGATGTTAGTGGGGTACAAGTGTAGATGTATAAGAGATGTTAGTGGGGTACAAGTGTAGATGTGTGGAAGATGTTAGTGGGGTACAAGTGTAGATGTGTGGGAGATGTTAGTGGGGTACAAGTGTAGGTGTGTGGGAGATGTTAGTGGGGTACACGTGTAGATGTATAAGAGATGTTAGTGGGGTACAAGTGTAGATGTGTGGGAGATGTTAGTGGGGTACAAGTGTAGATGTGTGGGAGATGTTAGTGGGGTACAAGTGTAGATGTATAAGAGATGTTAGTGGGGTACAAGTGTAGATGTGTGGAAGATGTTAGTGGGGTACAAGTGTAGATGTGTGGGAGATGTTAGTGGGGTACAAGTGTAGGTGTGTGGAAGATGTTAGTGGGGTACAAGTGTAGATGTGTGGGAGATGTTAGTGGGGTACAAGTGTAGATGTGTGGGAGATGTTAGTGGGGTACAAGTGTAGGTGTGTGGGAGATGTTAGTGGGGTACAAGTGTAGATGTGTGGAAAATGTTAGTGGGGTACAAGTGTAGATGTGTGGAAGATGTTAGTGGGGTACAAGTGTAGATGTATAAGAGATGTTAGTGGGGTACAAGTGTAGATGTGTGGAAGATGTTAGTGGGGTACAAGTGTAGGTGTGTGGAAGATGTTAGTGGGGTACAAGTGTAGATGTATAAGAGATGTTAGTGGGGTACAAGTGTAGGTGTGTGGAAGATGTTAGTGGGGTACAAGTGTAGATGTATAAGAGATGTTAGTGGGGTACAAGTGTAGATGTGTGGGAGATGTTAGTGGGGTACAAGTGTAGGTGTGTGGGAGATGTTAGTGGGGTACAAGTGTAGATGTGTGGGAGATGTTAGTGGGGTACAAGTGTAGATGTATAAGAGATGTTAGTGGGGTACAAGTGTAGATGTGTGGAAGATGTTAGTGGGGTACAAGTGTAGATGTGTGGGAGATGTTAGTGGGGTACAAGTGTAGGTGTGTGGAAGATGTTAGTGGGGTACAAGTGTAGATGTGTGGGAGATGTTAGTGGGGTACAAGTGTAGATGTGTGGGAGATGTTAGTGGGGTACAAGTGTAGGTGTGTGGGAGATGTTAGTGGGGTACAAGTGTAGATGTGTGGAAGATGTTAGTGGGGTACAAGTGTAGGTGTGTGGGAGATGTTAGTGGGGTACAAGTGTAGATGTGTGGAAGATGTTAGTGGGGTACAAGTGTAGGTGTGTGGAAGATGTTAGTGGGGTACAAGTGTAGATGTATAAGAGATGTTAGTGGGGTATAAGTGTAGATGTATAAGAGATGTTAGTGGGGTACAAGTGTAGGTGTGTGGAAAATGTTAGTGGGGTACAAGTGTAGATGTGTGGGAGATGTTAGTGGGGTACAAGTGTAGATGTATAAGAGATGTTAGTGGGGTACAAGTGTAGATGTGTGGAAGATGTTAGTGGGGTACAAGTGTAGATGTGTGGGAGATGTTAGTGGGGTACAAGTGTAGGTGTGTGGAAGATGTTAGTGGGGTACAAGTGTAGATGTGTGGAAGATGTTAGTGGGGTACAAGTGTAGATGTATAAGAGATGTTAGTGGGGTATAAGTGTAGATGTGTGGAAGATGTTAGTGGGGTACAAGTGTAGGTGTGTGGAAGATGTTAGTGGGGTACAAGTGTAGATGTGTGGGAGATGTTAGTGGGGTACAAGTGTAGATGTATAAGAGATGTTAGTGGGGTACAAGTGTAGATGTGTGGAAGATGTTAGTGGGGTACAAGTGTAGATGTGTGGGAGATGTTAGTGGGGTACAAGTGTAGGTGTGTGGAAGATGTTAGTGGGGTACAAGTGTAGATGTGTGGAAGATGTTAGTGGGGTACAAGTGTAGATGTGTGGGAGATGTTAGTGGGGTACAAGTGTAGGTGTGTGGGAGATGTTAGTGGGGTACAAGTGTAGATGTGTGGGAGATGTTAGTGGGGTACAAGTGTAGATGTGTGGGAGATGTTAGTGGGGTACAAGTGTAGATGTGTGGGAGATGTTAGTGGGGTACAAGTGTAGGTGTGTGGAAGATGTTAGTGGGGTACAAGTGTAGATGTGTGGGAGATGTTAGTGGGGTACAAGTGTAGATGTGTGGAAGATGTTAGTGGGGTACAAGTGTAGGTGTGTGGAAGATGTTAGTGGGGTACAAGTGTAGATGTGTGGAAGATGTTAGTGGGGTACAAGTGTAGATGTGTGGAAGATGTTAGTGGGGTACAAGTGTAGATGTGTGGGAGATGTTAGTGGGGTACAAGTGTAGATGTGTGGAAGATGTTAGTGGGGTACAAGTGTAGGTGTGTGGAAGATGTTAGTGGGGTACAAGTGTAGATGTGTGGAAGATGTTAGTGGGGTACAAGTGTAGATGTGTGGAAGATGTTAGTGGGGTACAAGTGTAGGTGTGTGGGAGATGTTAGTGGGGTACAAGTGTAGGTGTGTTGGAGATGTTAGTGGGGTACAAGTGTAGATGTGTGGGAGATGTTAGTGGGGTACAAGTGTAGATGTATAAGAGATGTTAGTTGGGTACAAGTTTAGGGTTTTCTTCTTCCCAGCTACTAGCCAAAGGTGTCTCTGTTATTGATGCTTCTGGTCAAGCAGATTTTAGTGAGGCCATGAAGTTTGCACTTACAACTCTCAAGGAGGTAAATGTTTTTTTTATTAGGAAGGTTGAATGTTTTACTCACTTGAAAATCTTAGAAAAAAAATGGAGCAAAATTTGTGAGCATGTATCCATGGATTCCAGTTTGCCAACTCCAGCTACTCTGATGATTTAAATACCGGAGCCAAGTGTAATAAAGTGATCATGTTGTTGACTGATGGTGGCACAGATACAGCTGAGGCTGTTTTCAAAGCTTTAAACTGGCCGGAAAAGGAGGTAAGTAAATTGTACGTAGAATTTATAATAAATATTTCTGATATTTCCTTAATAAACATCATGAATATAAAGTTTATTTCTAACAAGATGTTTTGGTGTTTTTGGGAAGTAATACAACCAATGTTGTCGTAATTGCCATGACATCATGCTAAGAATAGAGAACACAACCCAACGTAACTTTTTACCTTTTTTGGTGAAAAAAGTTTCGCATTTTAAGAAGTTAATAGGTCATTTTGTTTTTGTTTGTTTTCTCGGCCCCTAATTAAGCTAGACCATTAAATTTGGTCTCAAATTAACCAGTAGATCTAAGTGATATGGTTTGTAATGATATATGATAAGTGACAGAAAATTTTAATTAAAAAAATTTTTTTGAAAATCTATCAATTATATATTAATCTAGTGTTATCCGGGCCCTTTTCCCCGATATACTGTCGTTTTTGGCGGCGGTTCAGTTTTTAGTGAGAGTGCTCCACTAGAAATCGTCACATTATATAAATTAAGTGACAATCAATGGAGTGACCACTGACAAAAGTAAGTCTGACAATCAATGGAGTGACCACTGACAAAAGTAAATCTGACAATCAATGGAGTGACCACTGACAAAAGTAAGTCTGACAATCAATGGAGTGACCACTGACAAAAGTAAGTGTGACAATCAATGGAGTGACCACTGACAAAAGTAAGTCTGACAATCAATGGAGTGACCACTGACAAAAGTAAGTGTGACAATCAATGGAGTGACCACTGACAAAAGTAAGTCTGACAATCAATGGAGTGACCACTGACAAAAGTAAATCTGACAATCAATGGAGTGACCACTGACAAAAGTAAGTCTGACAATCAATGGAGTGACCACTGACAAAAGTAAGTCTGACAATCAATGGAGTGACCACTGACAAAAGTAAATCTGACAATCAATGGAGTGACCACTGACAAAAGTAAGTCTGACAATCAATGGAGTGACCACTGACCAACTTCCTTGCTAGTATTTTTTCTCCCCACTGATTGACTTTATTTTTCAGATCCGTGTCTTCACCTACGCTGTAGGACCTACCCCAAACCCTATTCATGCAATCAGATGGATGGCCTGCGCTAACAGAGGTGAGTGGGTGCTGGCAGGGTCAGGGCGGGGGTTCTCTCTAATAATATAGGGTCTACCTTGGGCTCAACAACTAGGGACAACCAAAATCCAACAACTGCTGCCTTGTAGTTTGTTTTTGGTTGGACAAAGGCTATTGAAGCAAATCAAACAACTGCTGCCTTGTAGTTTGTTTTTGGTTGGACAAAGGCTATGGAAGCAATCAAACAACTGCTGCCTTGTAGTTTGTTTTTGGTTGGACAAAGGCTATGGAAGCAAATCAAACAACTGCTGCCTTGTAGTTTGTTCTTGGTTGGACAAAGGCTATGGAAGCAAATCAAACAACTGCTGCCTTGTAGTTTGTTTTTGGTTGGACAAAGGCTATGGAAGCAAATCAAACAACTGCTGCCTTGTAGTTTGTTCTTGGTTGGACAAAGGCTATGGAAGCAAATCAAACAACTGCTGCCTTGTAGTTTGTTCTTGGTTGGACAAAGGCTATGGAAGCAAATCAAACAACTGCTGCCTTGTAGTTTGTTTTTGGTTGGACAAAGGCTATGGAAGCAAATCAAACAACTGCTGCCTTGTAGTTTGTTTTTGGTTGGACAAAGGCTATGGAAGCAAATCAAACAACTGCTGCCTTGTAGTTTGTTTTTGGTTGGACAAAGGCTATGGAAGCAAATCAAACAACTGCTGCCTTGTAGTTTGTTTTTGGTTGGACAAAGGCTATGGAAGCAAATCAAACAACTGCTGCCTTGTAGTTTGTTTTTGGTTGGACAAAGGCTATGGAAGCAAATCAAACAACTGCTGCCTTGTAGTTTGTTTTTGGTTGGACAAAGGCTATGGAAGCAAATCAAACAACTGCTGCCTTGTAGTTTGTTTTTGGTTGGACAAAGGCTATGGAAGCAAATCAAACAACTGCTGCCTTGTAGTTTGTTCTTGGTTGGACAAAGGCTATGGAAGCAAATCCAAAATGAATAGCAGGCTGAAAGCGGAGTCAATGACCTATATGGCACATAACAAGTTGACACATAATACTTAATTTTGTTGGAGGGGATCCCTCCACCACAAGAATTAAGAACACAGAAGAAGAAAAGGGTTAAGGTAAACTCTTAGGCCCAATACACATCCACTCCCTTCCATATGGTTTCTCAAAAATTGCTGCAATTTATTGCATCATCACAGGGTTTAGAACCCCTGATCTGAGGTGAAACCCTCTTCTGTCATTTTCAGGTTACTTTTCCCAGATTCCAGCCATGGGAGCCATACGATCAAGAGTACAGGTGAAAATTGATCTTTATTTCATATCAATTAGGGTGAAAATTGATCTTTATTTCATATCAATTAGGGTGGGCTCATGTCTTTTAAGGTTTCAATATTACATTACAGTAAAATATTTCTCATAGATTATTACTACTTGTTGATATTTGTTTATTTTTTTATGAAATAAAATCCCAGGGTAGAAATTCTAGCATTTATTATAATATATTTTTCTTTTAGCTTACATTTAAAAACAAAATTTCCAGTATTATATAATTATTTAGAAATGTTTTCAGTTGTTGGATAGTTGGCTGTTTAAAATGGACTGGATAGATCAAATCAGAACTTGGTTTTCAATTTTTAATGAGACAGGATATAGAGAGATCCCTTAAGATTTGAAAGACTTCAATTCTTGAATGTTAAAAAAATGAGTTGCTTTTAAAGCATGAAAATGGAAGGCATAGGTTGTAAGCCTGCAGTTTGCTTCCTTATCTACACTAGGACTATGAAGAAGTTCTTTGCATAGGTTGTAAGCCTGCAGTTTGCTTCCTTATCTACACTAGGACTATGAAGAAGTTCTTTCCCGGCCCTTAGCACTAGGCCAAGCTGAGCATATCCAATGGACAAGTAGTCATGAGGACACCTTTTTTGACCCTGAAAATCTCTCTGGGGTATTTCATTTCATTATTCTGGTGTGGGCTATTTTATCTCATCATTCTGGTGTGGGCTATTTTATCTCATCATTCTAGTGTGGGCTATTTTATCTCATCATTCTGGTGTGGGCTATTTTATCTCATCATTCTGGTGTGGGCTATTTTAGCTCATCATTCTGGTGTGGGCTATTTCATCTCATCATTCTGGTGTGGGCTATTTTATCTCATCATTCTGGTGTGGGCTATTTCATCTCATCATTCTGGTGTGGGCTATTTTATCTCATCATTCTGGTGTGGGCTATTTTATCTCATCATTCTGGTGTGGGCTATTTTATCTCATCATTCTGGTATGGGTTTTTCTTCCCTGTAATTTCAGGCTCAAAGCATTAGCCATGGCAATAGCTTATTGCAAAATCAATTAACATTAAATCATTTTAAAATAAAATACAGAATCTCTCAGAATAATTTAATAACATAAATTGTTTAAAAAATTATCAACAATAAAAAAATTGATCTAAAAATAATTTGAAAAATCTGTAGAGCTGCAATTGTTGGTGCAAGATGTTTAGGTAACTTAATCTTATCTTAAGAAGTTGACATGGAGTTTGTTCATGTGTGCACTATATGGCTTAATGATCACAGATTCTAAGTCAGTTTTTAGTTTCAGTTTTCTAAGTCTAGAAATACTAATTTTAATGTAAAAACAATTTTGAAATGTAATATTTTAACATGTATACTGTAAAATTCCATCAGTAGACCAGGTCTGAGCAATTAGTTTTTGGCAATGGACACCAGTGAGTTGACGAAAATCCTTCGGTAATGTTGTTGACATCGAATAAAAAATGTGCTTTTTTAGATTTAGGACTGTAAAAATAATAAAAGATAAAATTTTATTAAAAACTTAAGCCTAAAATTAATTCAGAAATTTAATATTTTTAGAATCAAGTTGCAGATCCAGAGAATTTGAAAATAATTTGTTGAGTTTAAGGCTACATTTCTATTTATTTTCATCAAGCCTAAGTTATAACCCGATGTTTCACTTTCGTAAGAGAGACATTAATTGGCTGTACAGGAACTCCGTGATCGATTTCTGACAGCCCCACTTAATAGTTTTTTTGTTTACAAAACTTTGCAGATCAAGTTTTTAAATAACAATGCAAATTTAAGCCCCATGACCTAGTTTTTCTTTTTTTAGCTTACAATGTGTACAATAAAATTTATGGCGGCCTATCGAATAGCAGGATGCCATTGCTTATGTTGCCATTACATGTGAAAACCAAATTGTTTCTGCTTTTTACTTTCTCGTATATACGTAGTATAGAGAAAGTATTGTAATCGTGCAAAAAAAAAAAATCGAGATTTTTACAAATCTCGACGTTTCACACCTCACTGATACGGAAAAACATAATTTTGCAATCTTGTCCGTATGTCTGTGTGTGTGTGTGTCTGTCTGTCTGTCTGTCTGTCCGTGTGTAAACACGATAACTTGAGTACCGTTACAGCTAGGTGGATGAAATTTCATATATAAGTATTTTATCAAAATCGTAGATCCGTATCAACTTTTGAGCGATTTCCGATAACCGGAAGTGGTACTTTTCCTACTTTGAATTTTTCAAAAGCCTATAACTTGAGTACTATTTCAGATAGATAAATGAAATTTCACATGTAAGTAAAAGATCTAATTCTCTACCTTCTGTTAAATTTTGAGTAATTTCCGTTGACTGGAAGTAGTAATTTACGCTACTTCCGATTTCTCAAAAAACTAATGTAAATTTTTAAAGTACTAATAATATTGCGCACTATTATACGCGTTTTTATTCGGCGTTTGCTTGGTGCGCAATGTTTTTTTTATGAGATTCTATTCTATTTTTAAAAGTTTAAGTATTTAAAATGGATTAAAAATCATAACTATATCCCCAGTTACCATCCCCTGTTGTTTTATATAAGAATATTCGAGAAAGTTTAGGGGAGATCACTACCGGTTTATTTTTAAAAGTTTTTATTTAGTTACCGAAAATATTAAAAACATCAAATACATCCAATTTTTAGTAAAGTCCGAAAAAAATCAGACGGACAGGATTTTATAACCATATTAATTGTAACTACGCTGTGCATGATTTTTAAATACATTTATGGACCTCTCGAATACCTTTAAGACTTTTCTTGCTGGCGTCAATTGGATTGTTGTCAAATTTAGAATAATTTGGGTCTTAGATTCTAGTTGTATACAGGAGAAAACATGAATGTACTGTTCAATTTTGAAAGACCAACATTTGTTAAAATATAGAGAGGCCAACTTGTGTTAAATATAGAGAGGCCAGCTTGTGTTAAATATAGAGAGGCCAACTTGTGTTAAATATAGAGAGGCCAGCTTGTGTTAAATATAGAGAGGCCAGCTTGTGTTAAATATAGAGGGGCCAACTTGTGTTAAATATAGAGGGGCCAACTTGTGTTAAATATAGAGGGGCCAACTTGTGTTAAATATTGGTAGGGAAAATATTACAACACTGACTCATAAAATTGTTGCCTCTTCATCTCTAAAAGATGGTGGGATGAAGTACTTTGCATAGATTTAACATTTTTTCCGCCCATAAAAAAATAAATGTTGACCTTTGATTTAACTTCGCAATGGATATTATTATTTAACAGGGCTATTCAGAATACTTCTCCAAAAGCATGGCTGAAAATGAAACTAAAGATATTTTATGGGAAGGGACCAGAGATCCCCGGGTATGATGTCTGCTAGCACTAGAGCACTTCTGAGAATGCATCTTAAAAACTAAGCAGATTTGGAACATCATTTTCAAGCAAAGTTGAAAAAAAAATGAAAGTACATAAAATTAGACCTGTGCTATAAAGTTATACAAGTTAAACAACCAGAAGTTGCTGTTTGGTAGAAGATGTTTATTTTATTTGCATTTCCATTTCTTAAATATACTTTTTTTAATGTACAGATTTCTGCCACTTGTCTGGACCTTATTTGTAAATATAGAGGGTTTTAACTTGAAATATTACAGATCTAAAACAATGAAAGAAACTCTAAATATTTGAATCCATGCATTTGACATATAGCAACCCACCTAAAGTAACATTTATATTTCAACTCAGTCAAAACTGTAGTTTTTAAAAAGTAAATGGTTTCCAAATCTATTAGGCCATTGCATTTGATGCATCTTTACTAACTTTTATTGATAAGATCAACCATTTTTCTGTTGTCCTTCTGAACTTGTTTGCATTCCATTATAACAGAGTCCACTAATAATTATAACTCAAGTCTCAACCACCTTTTGACAGTAAATCTATGAATGCATAGCTAACACTTTTGGAAAGTATAAAATGAAATAACATTGAAGCTTGAGTCTAATGGGTCAACCCTTGACCCACTTTTGACCTCCACTAAGTCTTGCTTGGTGTGCTATGAATGCAACAGCTACCTTTTTTTAGATATTTGATTCCATCTAAGCTTGTACCCCACTGGCCCAGCCTTTTCATCATTTTTTCAGATGAATTCAACTAAAAAATTATACTGTGATACAATTAACAGGAAATAAAAGAAAAAAAATCTCACCTTTCAGAATTTACAACTTTAAAACTGTTATCAAGTATTTTACTATGAAATGTTTTGTCAATTAATAACCTTGTATGCTGTATTGTAAAGAATTCATGACATGAAACCATGCTAGCACCTTTAGCTACACTATTCACTCTACACTACCCAAGCTAGCTACACTATTCACTATACACTACCCATGCTAGCTACACTATTCACTCTACACTTCCCATGGTAGCTACACTATTCACTCTACACTACCCATGCTAGCTACACTATTCACTCTACACTACCCATGCTAGCTACACTATTCACTCTACACTACCCATGCTAGCTACACTATTCACTCTACACTACCCATGCTAGCTACACTATTCACTCTACATCCTAGCTACACTATTTACTCTACACTACCCATGGTAGCTACACTATTCACTCTACACTACCCATGCTAGCTACACTATTCACTCTACACTACCCATGGTAGCTACACTATTCACTCTACACTACCCATGCTAGCTACACTATTCACTCTACACTACCCATGCTAGCTACACTATTCACTCTACACTACCCATGGTAGCTACACTATTCACTCTACACTACCCATGGAAGCTACACTATTCACTCTACACTTCCCATGCTAGCTACACTATTCACTCTACACTACCCATGCTAGCTACACTATTCACTCTACACTACCCATGCTAGCTACACTATTCACTACCCATGGTAGCTACACTATTCACTCTACACTACCCATGGTAGCTACACTATTCACTCTACACTACCCATGCTAGCTACACTATTCACTCTACACTACCCATGCTAGCTACACTATTCACTCTACACTACCCATGCTAGCTACACTATTCACTCTACACTACCCATGCTAGCTACACTATTCACTCTACATCCTAGCTACACTATTCACTCTACATCCTAGCTACACTATTTACTCTACACTACCCATGCTAGCTACACTATTCACTCTACACTACCCATGCTAGCTACACTATTCACTCTACACTTCCCATGCTAGCTACACTATTCACTCTACACTACCCATGCCAGCTACACTATTCACTCTACACTTCCCATGGTAGCTACACTATTCACTCTACACTACCCATGCTAGCTACACTATTCACTCTACACTACCCATGCCAGCTACACTATTCACTCTACACTTCCCATGGTAGCTACACTATTCACTCTACACTTCCCTTGCTAGCTACACTATTCACTCTACACTACCCATGCTAGCTACACTATTCACTCTACATCCTAGCTACACTATTTACTCTACACTACCCATGGTAGCTACACTATTCACTCTACACTACCCATGCTAGCTACACTATTCACTCTACACTACCCATGCTAGCTACACTATTCACTCTACACTACCCATGGTAGCTACACTATTCACTGTACACTACCCATGCTAGCTACACTATTCACTCTA